TCACTTAAGCCTTACAGTCAAATAAGACACACACAACGAAATACGTTTCAGCTCTCGTCTTAGTCGGTCATTTGTGCACTCTATGAGACACAGCGCCCTGGGGAAAAGTCCCCAAGACTATCGCAAGGCTGACCCAAGACTCTTTTAGACTGCGTCAAGGCTCGCCTCAAGTCTCTCCAGGACTGCGTCTGTTCTGCTGTACTCCCCAAGACCAACTCAAACTCTCTTTATTCATTTTCAAAACTCTAACCAATTACAAAACAGTAAAAAGACTCTAGGGCGTAACTTTCAATCATAAAGCCAATCACACTAAGTACTGAATACGTCATATCTTTTGATTAATCGTTCACTACATTAATAACTACGGATACCAACTGTCAGAAATCGTAGTCAGAATAGCGACGGTTATCTCGTAATTAGTTCCAAATCACTTAGTCGAGTTCCGTCCAAAACTTCAAATAGGCCTAAACGATGACAGACATAACACAGCAATTCGCTAATAATCAGCTAATTAAGTCGGTCAACAGATGCGCGTAAACAAATTCATGACACTGAACTGACTCTCTATCATCTCTCAAACAGCATAAAGAGCCCAAACAAAAAGATACAAATGGTTATGCATACATCAACACCGTCTGTATTACATTGCTGTACTGATATCCACCTGGCTCATCACATGACTCATTTGTTAGCAACACACAATACGGAAATCAACATGCTTACACCTGCATAGATCAAATGATAGGACAATTCCACAGTGCATGCGATTAAGACGTGGCTCTTGCACAAATTGCCCCATGGTTAATCTTTATATTTGAGATCGTGAGATGAATGCATGCATACATAAAACGAGTTGTTCAAGAGATTTCAATCTGAATATTTCTCCCCTGCTGGTTCCCACTCCAAATGCAGATAGAACTGGTGACAAATCTTGTTAAATATTCAAAGGGAGGCCAGTCTTACAACATAAATTGGAAGTGAGATGATGTTATCAATGCAGCTTTTCAAAGAACAAATGCTTATGAGCTTATGATGTTTGTAGTTTTGTTTTGTGAGACTTTGATGGCGTCATCCTCTTATCTGATATCAATAATGTCATCAAATTCTACCAGAATGCTTCTGAAATACTCGCAAAAAAGTTATGTTGTACACGTTGGTTAACACATCTTGTGACGTTTACTACCCTTATATTCCAAAGTTGTTTTTTGTAGGGTAGTACCATATTTAGAAGGCTTTTATGTCTTAAATGCAGGTGTGGAACTGCAGTACACATGCATTCAATATTTTGCATATTTTGTTGATTTATCTATGCGCCTGTTTAAATTATTTATGATAGATTCAGATTTTAAAAACAAATCAAGTATTTGTTCTGCCGTGAAGCTTTTGTGAATATATTTGTTTCTATTCTCTCCTATTTCATAAGATGATCATTGAGCAAATAACGTTTCTGAGTACCAAAGCTGTGTGTGTGTGGGGGGGGGGGTGCGTGTGTGTGTTTGTTTAATTTCTTCAGTCTTATCATTGGGCTTTGTATAGAAGTAGTCATATCATTTTTGCTTTGTTTGTTTGTTTGTTTTTGTAGAAATAATGAGGTAGTGGTTAAATTTAATAAATTTGTTACGCATGTGCCATAACTCTGATATAGACCACACTCTTTTACTGATTTGAACTGTTCTTATTTTAATACACTGTATATGTTATTTTGTTGTAGTTGTATTGAGTCTAATTCCCCTATGCAATTTTTGTTTAATGATGATGGTTAGGCAGATCACAGATACGTTAAAACAAACACATCTATATTAGCATACTTTGAATGGGTTCATCAAATCTCAGTTCTACATTGGAATGTTTTCAAGGGCAATTAAATGTCATTCAAAATGACTATAATAGCGTCAATAAAATCTAATACATCAACAGCTGTCACAGAATAGGGGTTCCACAGAAATTATGTCAGAAAGATGAGTTTGAGTTATTAGATAATAATGAAGATAATTAAATATATAATATTAAACCAATGCGCATTTACACGTACATAGGTTTGAATCAATTATTGTAGCCATCAAATAGAGCTTCAAAAATATATATCACTAAATATAATTTATTTGTCATTTTATTGTTTTGTTTTTTGTAGACTTCATTTTTTTCATTGTTGTCGGTCGTTGGTTTTGTGTTATTGAATGTGTAAATTTCCTTTCACTCGTGTTACACGATCAATGGTTTGGTGTGTTATTTCTACCATAGTAGCAAAAGTAACAATAAGCGACGACTTGAATATTCTATTTTTACGTGCGTCTGCCCGCCAAACAGGTGGTGATTTGAAATACTGAATTGCGCACTGTAAGTAAAAGCCCTTCAATAGCGACAGGAAAACTCCGAGTAATAGTTTAATGGCAATTGTGGCATTCTCCCTATTAAGTGAACATGTAACTATGGTTATATGTTTGTTTTCAGGAAGCTAAGATAAAGATAAAGATGAATACGATAGTTTGCCTTTCGGGTTAATATTCCACCTTGGAACATGTTATTTTTTTCCTCAGATCAAATTAAAAATGGTTGACTGTTTGACATTTCGTGCCAATGTATGATGTTCCAAGGCTGTATTTCTAACATGTCTGAACTTCAATTGACACATTTAGAAATTGCTTACTTCTGAAATTTCATGAAATTGTTAATTTTAGAAATCAGGTTTTGTATGTGCCGCCAAATACTGTAGATATAGTCCGTCAACTCTTCAGACTAATTTTCATAGACGTAACTGTGACCTTATAGTCATAATTCCTATTTACAAAACAAACATTGTTAGTTCGTTTTGTGATGAATACATGGTTTAGATTTGTGTGTCGTTGACGTGAAGAAAAGTGTTGATGAAAGATGACATTTTCAATATTCAGAAATGTGTTTACGTAAAACGCAATATAACCTGTTGTGTATGGATCTCGGATAAACCAAATGTGTCCATAATTTAACATATTTTATCACTATACGAGTTTTCAATATACGGGGATTATTATTCCGTGAAAAAGAGTCTTGTAGAAACAGACAACGCCTGAACAATGTAATTGACTGAGAATGCCATCTTAACGTAAATGACGTATTAAACAACTATTTTTGTCAAGAACATGTTTTAAGTAAAACAGCTTAAATGAGCGTGAAACCCAGGTTTGCCATTGGTGATCAGCTTTTACTGCCTACATGTTATGTTTATTATGATGATATTATGAGTTACTGAAAATCATATTTGTTTAGAATAAAATAAAGGTTTGGGCTTTTTGGATGTTTATGAAGTGAATACTATCTAACGAAATTCACACTACAGATTCAGAAATATACTATGTCTCATGATATTTGTATTTGCTTTCTTCATTAAGATCACTGATTTTTTGTGAAAAGGCAGTTTTTATTTTTGTTAAGTAATATTAGTAACGTGCAACATTTCAGATATTTCGGCGCAGGTAATACTTATATTATATTGAATTCTTCTAAGTAGTGGAGGTCAGAGCGGTTAAATATTTAGAGATGTTAATTTAAATAACGATATGTTATTGTTATTGCAAATTGTATTTTCATATGAATGTAAAGAGTGATGACATGTACAGACGCGGTGTATTCCACAAAGTATGCGTACACTCGTTGAATGATCTTAATTATGCAGACTTTCTCATTTGCGAGGGGGGGGGATTTGGAGCTATTTTCACGTGTTCGATATACAATAGGACACTAAGATCTGTATACAATAAACGCGAATGTACGTAGATTCAGACAACTACATAAAAAGTAAAGTTATATATCAAATATATCAAATGAACTTAGGTTATATAACCAGTTAATTGATATGAAAACAATATTATGGTATTTTTGTTACTACCTAAATAAATCGTGCGCCCTCTATTCAATACAATGAACGATTCTCTTTACACTGCAAAATTTCGCGTTATGCATGAAATCGATCAAATACAAGACAAACAAAGTCACAGTGGCGTAAAAATAACGCTATTTGACAAACGCGAAAGTATTTTTTATGTATTTCCATGCTTAGTTATGAGCTATACACACATGATAATGGTCATTTTTATTGAAGTATGGGTATGTATGGGTAAGTATTGGGTATGCACTGGGTATGCACTGGGTATGTATGGGTATGTATTGGGTGTGTATGGGTATGTTGGGTATCTCAACGCCATATTCCCTTCTAGAAGATCGACATTTAAACATTGAACTATAAACAAATTCGTTCCTCGCCTTTCACGCAATACGTAATTGTTCGCAGTGGACGGAAAATTAGCTAACTGTCGTGACTCGGACATTTTTCTGGAATACATTATTTCATTTATATCTGTAAAAAGAAGATTGTGTGGACCTGGTATGCCATTTTCACTACATATGAATACAGGTACTTTATGAAAATATATACAGCCGAACTCACGACTAAAGCAAAGCGCTTCGCCAGTATAAGCACACCCTCACTACGCCACACTGAAGATCGCAAAAGACAGCACGAAATATTGTGTAATAAACGCTAACACACAGTGGCTCGAAGTTACACATATACTAGCAGTACGTTTTAAACTATGGGCATTCTTGCATTAGCATTCTGACTATACCTATAATATTTCATTATATGCAATCGATGCAAATACATACGTGCCAATCATTTTTATCATGACAAGGGTTGAGTAACGATATACATGATGATGATGATAGTCGCCAATATTAATGTTCTTTCTACCGCAGGCCAGAAAATTAATTTGGTACTCAAAAAATGGAATATTCCTCTGGTATTATTTCTCTACGACGACCGTGGCCTTTATGGTTTAACAATTAATCCCGCGTGATTCTATTATACTGAGATATCTGATGTCATAAAGGTGCCTGGCAACATTCTCTTAAATAATTCAGTAGGCGGATTATTCATTTATTCACGGGTAAGATACCGTAGTATTATATATCTCGTTCATTCGACATCCCAGGAAATTAGCTTAGTTCAAATAGCTTTATGTACAATGTCGGAATACTATATCTTTGAATCGAACTGGTCATGGTATAATGATTCAACGTATTACTGGGACATATCTGATCATGGATGTCGTCTAGTTGACAGGATGATTGAAGACATTATCAGCGTTATATTATGCTGTTGTGGTATTCCTGGGAACATAGCTGTGATATTTGTGGTGTTACGTGTTCCATCAATGCGAAGTGGGACAAACGTTCTGTTGGTCAATCTAGCAATTGGTGATCTTCTTTGCCTTGTTCCCAACACTGTGTTTTATCTCTGGCGTATCGTGGATCATACCATAGAGGCAGAAGTTACAGGCTTCATTATAGTTCTGATATCAATCATTGGTATATACGTGTCTTTAAATACATTGCTAATGGTTAGTATAGATCGATACTTGGCTGTCTGCAAGATTTTACTACATAAGGCTAAGTCTGTAAAACGAAGACGCAACATAGTTATATCACTAACTTCGATTTGGACGTTAGCGTTACTGTTGACATTTCCGCATTTGAACTACGTTACAGGCGTTTTTGGAATAGACATGCATATGGTGTCGACGTATTCGTATGTTATAGATTTCTTGTTAGTCTGTATAGTCATGTGTGTTCTTTACTCGAGGATTATATTCAGTCTCAAAAAGACAAGACGACTGGGAAGTATGTGGGCTAGAGCGTCTGCTAAGAGAGAAAATCGCGTTGTTAGACTTTGCCTCGTTACAGCAGCAGTGTCTATTCTATGTATGTTACCGTGGCTAATGACAGGTATTTTACAACTGTTGGTGCTGTACTATAAACTTATGCCGTTTCCAGAGTGGATGTACTGCTTAGGAACTGTCAGTAATTATTTTGTTCAGACCAATTCTTGCATTAACCCTTACATCTACAATGTGTTGAGTAGTAAGTACCGCCGTGCATTTAAAGATGTCTTCCGTATGAACAGGAGTAAAAGAAATCGGCGCAGAAGACAAATGGCTGTAAAGTTTGACATAGGACATACTATCTCAACTTCTAATTCCCGCCCTTTGGGCAGAATTTCTGTGTCGACAGCCAAAGTAATGTAAAGTTAAAAGATCGCAATCAAGTGTACATAATGCAGTCAACACTGTTCAAACTTACTTTTTGGTGTGTATATCCTGAAGGCGAATTACCATATCGCTGTGTGTTTATTGTTGATGTGTTTTACGTTTTCTACTGCGACTGTTTTCAATCGAATTGCTGCCTTGTGTTTTTAAATTACACTTAAAGCTACAACTGTAGTGAGTGTGGTCATTAATGTATTTTCCGAAACCCACTCACTGTTAATTACATTGCTTTTCCCATGTTCATTTCCGAACAAAATTACCACGAACATTATGGTTAATTTTATTAAAATTCCTTTCTATGCTCCTGGTTATCCCGGGTTTATCAATATAATGTGTATAACAGTGATGCTTTGTGGCAATAACATGAACCTTTTGTACAATATTTGTGTATTCGTGCAATAATTTTGAGATGTTAGAAAGTGTTCAAGACATTTTTGTTTACGCCTATCATTGTGCATATGTATTGCGAACATTTGACCTCTCCATTTGTTATTGATTGTTAATATGATTATTCGTCGTTTTGTTTTCGAGAAGTGTCCATCTCCTATGTGTGTGGTATGTCTTCTTCGTGGACATGTGATACTAGCATACCTTTGGGCTGACCGGAAATTGATAAAAAAAACAATTATTCAAATAAACATTCCAAATGCAATTACTTGGCCAAAATACCTCATATATTATCAATCGCCTTGAATTTCTATAGCACGCCCTAATTACATACACACATCCGGGTACCTTCATATCATATTTTAGGTTTCAATTAAATGGTGACGTAATAATTAGATCATCGTTGTTGAATCGTTTTCTGTCCGCAATTCAATATTTTTATAAGCCAATGTATATACCATGGTGCCATGAATACAGGGGAAATCAAGTCATGTAAAAGTCCATAAATGTATGGCGTTTGTGTCATTCGAGTCTGCGTCTGACGCTGTTCTTCTCCCAAACTTAAATAACACTGACAAGTCAACTCAGTCTGTACAATTGTCAGAGTTCAACATATCGTTGATTATGAGTAATCATTCCGCTATTCAAGATATTTACGCAGAACATTACATGGACACAAAGTGTTACGGAACATATAAATAGAATACGGTTAGCGCTTCTGATGCATTTCATGTGTATGTACCTATATACTTATCAATGCCGAGTAGAGCAGGGGCAGTTTTTTAATGAGCTGAAAATTTTTAAAAAGTTGTTTTGCCTCATATTTTCGGGGCGAGGGCTACGTCACAGAACGTTCTATGTTGCTAAGACGCGCGCCACTGCACTACGTATTTACAGGGGCTATGTGCGATCTGTTGTGAAAATTCGGTCGAAGAGTCGGTGAAAACAACTAAAGTCGAAGTTACAGCACAAGCTAATATATCCGTTGCACATGTAGGGGTAATCTTCTTACACTTTTCAGAGAAATCCAATGTACATTTTTCTAAGAGTTTCCGACTTTTTTTTTACTGGATATGGTTGCCAGATGTATT